TAGATGAAGTGTCACGGACATCTGGTGCAGTCACTAACAAGGGTAGTTGACGTTTTACATTATTTATAAATTTTGTGGACATAGAATGCATAAAGTCATGATTTGCAATTATAGATAAAATTTAATGTAAATAGAGGATATTCAATGTTTTGTACATGTAGATGTAATAATACATTTTCTTAGATTTTCCTTTGCCTCTGTCATTTCATAACGCAGTGTCATAGGCTGTCACGTCATAGTTGAGCGATTCAGACGTCATAGCTAAGCGATTGCGAGATTGAAAAACGTTGTAAACATGGATTTTTAACGACATATTTGGAAAAACTTTTGGCAATATAACTATTAGTATCTGTCAGGACCAGGATGCCTCATTAACTCTATCTTATAACAGTCCAGGATTTCTTTTTTAAAACACTCTTCATGAAGGGAAGGAAATTCTTAAGTTTTGCTGCACTTCTGATATTCTCACACTGTGAGAATACCCTTTCACACTGTGTCAGAATATCACTTTTATTCAGTAAATAAATAACAGTATTTCACTGTTGAAAATGTAATACAACGGATTATACTCCGGACTCTCTGACAGTTGTTATTATGAAGAAGAAATTATTATGTCATTTTTGTATTTGTGCATTGTTGCATATATACGGAAGCCGGTAGGTGCCAGGTGAAAAATATTTTATCTGGGGGCCGCCAAATAATTATATGGAGGCCGCAAGATAAAAAGATCTGGCGGCCGCCAGATAAAAAGATCTGGCGGCCGCCAGATAACTTATCTGGCGGTCGCAATATAATTTTCTGGCGGTCGCCAGATAAATAGATCTGGCGGCCGCCAAATAAAATATTTTTCTACCTGGCACCTAACGGCTTCCGTAGATAACTTATCTGGCGGCCGCAAGAAAATTATATGACGGCCGCCAAATATTTATCTGGCGGCCGCCAGTTATTTATGCGGCGGCCGCCAGATCATTATTTGGCGGCCGCCAGAAATTTATCTGGCGACCTCCAGATAAAATATTTTTCTACCTGGCTCCTACCGGGTACCGTACATATGTCTATGCATATAATGATACATATATCTACAATTTTATGCACTGATCAATTATCGTATTTTTCTATAATAATCAAAGAAAAACGAACAGGTTAAGAATTTAATCTGCTTAAAATTAAGAAGCGGAAGTGGAGTTAGATTTCACATTTTACTTTTCTAAAACAAATTCGCTCATAAAGTAATGAACAAATTCGGTAACAGCGGCAATTGACCTACAAATGTCCATTTAATTCCCTTAAGTTTCCCTAAATTTCTCTTTAAAATAAGAGGTTTGGAATGAAATATAGAGGTATCGTACAGTATTCAAGCTCAAAGTCCAATATACAATACAAAAGGGAGCAGAGCAAACACGGACATCCAAAAACATCAGAGGTGGGATCAGGTGCCATGGAGGAGTGAACATCCTCTGTCGACCGGTCACACCCGCTAAGTGCTTCCTGTCATGATCGGGAAAAACGGAAAAACCGTAGACAGTTCGGTGTGTAAATAATGGCCTAACAATTAGTATGAAAAACGTCAATCAGCATTTGACATAATGATTGGTTGTATTTGCAGACAAGGTCCTTGTATCTACCATAAAACTTGCAAAATGTTGACTTCAAACGAGTCTGATGATATCCTTGTTTCATAGACTTGTTTGTCAAAAGCTTGCTTCGTTTTAGAAAGTGTTCATACGTAGAGCATGCTCTTGCAATTGGAATCAACTGGGAGTCAAAAACCCCATATGCAATGATAAGGGTATATTTCTACATAAGTAAGGGAAGTTGAAGATTGAAAAGTTGGAGTCATCACGTTTATCATAAAGCTTTGTTGTTAGGACAACAATAGATACAAAAACATAGTGGAGATTTAAATTTGCTAAAATTATCAGTTTTTGTGGGTTCTCATGAGAGGACACCTAATAGAAGGGACACAAAGCGGAAATCTAATCTTATATTAACGAACTTAGATTGCAGAAATGTACTTTGTGTGTAATTTTTTTGATATTTAGGGGAAAAAATGTTGTTTTACATATTGAGCAAATTTATAGTCTGTACAGTTCTACCAGAACACTTGAAGCTTCTTTAAAACCGTTTTATTCATGTTCAATGTTTAAATGGATACACATTATTGCATGTACAATTATTTTTATAAAAATAGCCTTTGAGAATCTCTTCATATATATCATACCACACATAATAATTTAATGTTGATTTTCATGAAGCACATTCAAAGATCTGTACTCTCTTTGAAATTAAATGCAATTCCCTGCAAATAAAAATAAGTGTCTTTTACACTGGTGAACAGTTTATATAATTGATATATTAATTTATCATTGATTTTAATATAAATACAGTACTTTGCAAAATTTTATTCAATAAAATGAATCATAATACAATCAGGATATGCATTGTTTATAGTAATTATATCTGTACTAAATTAAAGTAAAAAAAAAATACCTTTACGAGATCCTCACTTATATATTCAGTTCTGTCATCTTCTTTAATCTGGATCTATAAATAAAATGAATTATAGATACTATTTAAATATAGGAATATAATTCAATAATTCTTTTTAAAATCTTTTTTAAAGTCACATTTCTAATATGATATGGCTAAATTCACACTTATACACTTACACTTGATTCAGAAGAGAACTCTATGATGTAGGAGGACCGTGTATCATTACTTTCTAGTGTATAGAGTTTACTTCGTGTTTTCTCAGTTTTTTTCCTGCATAATTTCCCAATGAAAGCTTTCCTAATCTAAAATTTAGTTTATAAGTAGATAAACATGTATAAATAAATCTAATGGGAAATATGTCTAAGTATGAATTACATGTATGTATATATTTACATAGATCACTTATGTTGATATCTAAATCAAGGGTAAATGTCACAACTTTCATAACTACTGATTAAAATATGATACCATGCACCTTTCATTTCTTCTCTTTTCTTTTCATCTTTTTAAAAATAAGGGATATCTCTTTTATTATAATAGATCTTTAATTATTTTTTTATATTTACCTTTTTGTTCAAAAGACACTTTGAAATGAAAATGAAAAGTCTCTAGAAAGAATACAATATTATGCTTATAGCATTTTATTTGAAATTTAAAGTTGTAAATAAAGTTTTTAAAACTGATTTTGAAAATTCGAACTCGATTGAATATGAATACCTGAAAAGAATTTAATATAGCAAATATGTATTCAAACACAATGACATCATCACTGATGGACAAAAGGCCAAAGACCCACGTCACTCCAAGGACAGGTAACAGGATGGAGATTGACTTTATACCTGATCTAAAATTGTTTAAGGCAATATAAAAATAACTCTAGGTTCTCAAACTCAAGCTTGTAATTCAGAATCAGTTTGTATCATTATAACGCCATTTGTTATAAATTCAAAATCCAGCTGTGCTTTAATAGATATGGAAAATAACTTATCATTCAAACGTCATTTATTGTTAATTAAAAATTCAATCGGTTTCAATAAATATGGAAATAACTTAAAGTGCCCGTTTCTTCGTTGTGCTATTAGATACTATCTTAGATGAGCATAGCGTCACACACAAAGTTATAACAATCACAATATTGATCTGAGTTTCAAAAAAAGATTTGCTTAATTATATCTGAGGTTTCATCCAGTAACCATTATAATATGCTAGATATTTCATCCAGTAACCATTATAATATGCTAAATAAGGATATTTAAGCATTGCTGTAAACCAACTTTATTTTCATGAAATATACTTTCTTTTGCGATTTCAATTAATTCGACCATACGCAATGTTCAACGATCTTCTATTTTTAAAAAAAAATCCAATGTCCTTGCAAAAGTAGGAAATACTATTCACAAGAAAAGCTGGTTAACAGTATTTAGAGAAATATTAAATCAGACAAAATATGCAGAAATGAAATAAGATTTTTGAGAAGCTATTTCTTACCAAAATAATAAGAGCTGCAGGTCCTATGAAACCATACAATGCTCCACTTTCGAATGATAACCAGCAACTGCAAAATAACAATAAAAGCAAGAAAACACCCTGTGATTGCGTATAATAAGTGGGCGGTCTAAATATATAATTTTGAATTTAAAAAAATATTTTAATCAAATTACAATTACCTGTTGTTTGTATTGTAGTCCTTGCCGGAAGAATATATTATTCTAAATGTTACAACAGTGAATCAAAACAGGCATTACTTAAAAAAAAAGTAAAACATTCAAGTACTTCTTTTCGTTTAAATAAGATTATTCGGTCATTGATTTCACCGACAATTTTTTAAAGTTTAGAAAATTCAAATTTTTCAAATAAACTTTTCTTATAGAGATAATGGTTTAGCTCACCAAACACAATAGCCCATATAATTTTACTGAAAGTATTCGCTTCACTTTTTAATTTTGTTGCTTTGGAAAACGATATTTTAACCAAAGAAACGCTGACGAAATAATACATCCCAAGAGCCAACATCAGGAAAAATATACTCAGGAACAAACACTGTAAAACGGCTGCAATCACGGTACACCCAACCTATAACAAATACATGGTAAATCGTCTTCGTGGTTTCCCTTTTACTTTTATTACAAATTCCAAACTATTTTGAAGGAAGATATATGTTTTTAAAAGTGTTAACTTACATTTGTTATTTTGAAAATCGTCTTTGAAAGAATAATAGTGATAAATTGCACACATTTTAATGATCCTTTACAGTGTACCTTATATTGGGTTTTATCAATTCCTCCTAGAAATGCAGTATAGGATGTGGCAATACTGAGACAAAGGAGAACGGTTATCTTAATTATCAATCATTCGGATGATGTCTGATGTGATGGACCTAAAAATTACAAGTTTTAGTCAGACAAGGAAATTAAAAGACATGAAGTGAAATGTATGAAAATAACGAACAGTAACACAGGTAATATTAATAATTGTCAAATATAATTCCCCTGTACGATCTTACTTCCATAAAACAAGATATACAATAGCTGTCAGACAGGAAAAGAAAACAGATATTGAGCAACCAATGACGGATATCCAATTCAAAGCCTCTTCATCCTCATGTAGCTGTTAACAAAAGTACCAAGATATGAATCGTGCAGATCTGTAGTTTTTATTGTATATTAATTATTATTTTGAATCACTTTGCATATTTACCGGACAATGGAAAATAAATTAAGATATGTATGGTGTATTATAGTAAATAAAAATAAAACCTTTACGTAAGGTCGAACCAGAACTTCAAAATTCGTCAAATGATCGCAATCACACTGTATGTAAAGATCATTCGTAGATTGTGTTTTGCATCCTTTTGTTGACCATCCACCATCTCCGTTACTGTTACAGAATCATTTAAAAATATTCTTAAAATATGCTTATTTCTTCAAATATTTTCTAGTTTTAAATTCATATTTTTCTTGTGTTAATAATTCCATTTAAGTAACCTTTGTTTAAGAATAGTTTTACTTACTTGCTTTCAAAATCCCAAAATGCACATTCACTAATAGAGTTAGATAGATTCTGTAATAGTTAATGAAACAAAAAAAAGTAACTAAATGAATGAAATGAGACTATTAAAATATTTTTTGTTCAATAAGAAATGCTTCTATTTGATATCACTTACTTTCTTAAACATTTTCAGTTGTAAAGGTGGGTTTAATATTTCTTTGCGTAAATCTACTTTTAAAGTTAATGCCAAAATGTCAGTATTTCGAAGTATTGTTCTTTCTGTACTTGAAAGAAAATTCATCTTTCAAGAAATAATGAATGTTTTGATATTAATTCATAGAAGTGTACACAAGATAAATGTCTTTTAAGTAGGGATGGGTATCGCCAAAATTTTCGTATCGTCATACATATCGATTTTTTCCCAAATATCACGATAATATCGTGATATTTTTACACGTAAATTTTTACTACAATTTCAAATGAATTTCTATAATTTTTCTTACAAATACGTTGTAAAAACATAACTTCACTTTTTTCATTTTTATTTATATAGTATAAAGCATGTTTGAATGCCACAGTTTAACTTTTTTCAACATTTTTTTAGACTCCCTGTAATTTTTTTTTTAACAGTTCGAAGAAATAAATGAATAATTTCAGGAATTTATATTTCTTAGGGATGCGCGATTTTATCGGTATACCGGTATATCGTGATTTTTTTATTGCGTGATACGTATCGTGATACGGAGACTAAAAAACCGGTTTTTGGTACAGAAATATAAATTCCTGAAAAAAACCGTTTTTTAGTCTCCGTATCACGATACGTATCACGCAATAAAAAATCACGATATACCGGTATACCGATAAAATCGCGCATCCCTACTTTTAAGATTAACTCGTACCTTTTATTTCCATTCATAATATTGCCTATGGTTTTGTACTTCACCGCTAAATACGGAATACCTAGTGATATGGTCAAAAATAGTAAATATTATGTTTATTTGTTTAAACATTAGTAATCTTACACATATAATCTTATTATCAATATTCTTGATCTTCAAGAGACAAGATTCATTAAAATTGGTTTTACTTTGACTTGAGCTGTGAAGTTGTGCTGGCAATACTAAAGATGAACTTGTGTTGTCTTTATTTGGAAAAACAACATCATCATCTGCTGGTATTTTTGCGACGGTAAGAACTGAAAATGTAGGAATTTATACTCATTAAAAAATTAATATATAGACGATAAAGCAGTTAAAAAAAAAATAAAGATTTCTATATTAATCCACTTCCTGGTGTGAAGAGAGTAAATAATTGATTATCAAAACAAAAACATGCAAAATTTAAGAACCAATACATCATTTATAGTCTCCTAGGAAATGAAAACATTGTAAATGAAAATTCATACGCATATTTTTCGTGGTGTTGAACGTGATGCTTTCGTTCTGCTGAACATTCCCCAAAATATGCATCCCAAATTTATCAACTGTCTTCAGAATTTTACTGACTCTTCCATTTGTCTGTTCATTTCAAATTAACATTGATTATATTGTTACCCGTTTAAAAAAGAACAAATTCAAAATTAATTCTGAGAGAACGTATATATCAAGATTTATTGTATAGTACCTTTCTTTTGGAACTGTCTTTCCATACAGTTGTGTGATTTTCTGCCAGAAGGTTATCTATAGTAGTCACAACAACCTGTTTATGACATATTGTTTGTTAGCATTCAATATCCAAGATGAATTAATTGAATGAAAACATGCAATAAATAGTTAATTTTGTTCATACCGCCTTTGGTAATGTGAGGTTGGAAGTTTGGGAGACATCCAATATTTTATCCAGTAAATCTGTAGAATTGTCTAGATCTGCTGTGCTGTGTTCCGTGTTAAGAGAGAATTCTTGTAAAGAATGTAGAGTGTTATCAATTCTATGCTGTACCTCAGTCTTTGATAAATTTAGTTGTAGAAGGGAATCAACCTTGTTATGACGAAAGAGAAAAGTTTTGTATTCATCTGCAAAAGGTTTTGATCACTTATATAATTTTATACAAAATTAAAAGCAATTACATTCTTGTAACTTAAAATTATCGTTTTACCGTTTTATAAGCTTGAAAAAAAGTTTATTGGGAATAAAAATAAATTTAGGTACTCGCATTGAAAATATCCACAAATGAGAAGGTGGTATTATGACGCTATAGGTATCTTTTTTCGATGAGAAAATCTAAGAATAAGTAAATCCAGAGAAAAAAAAACTTAAATGTAGAATATATTTACTGTACAGTAAGGATGGCGAAAACTTGAACATCATCAAAATTTCTATTTAATGTATATTCAATCATTTAAAGTGTTAACTTAGATTTTATTATTTTGAATAGTTTTGGATTTTTCGGGAGTTGAAACGGGGGCCTTTACCTCCGAACATAGCACTGTTACCACTGGACAAATTTGGTTTGTTCACACTATATTATTTTACAAAACACTGGAAATAGTATGGGATTTAAAGTTTTGGTGTTTACTGAAATGGTTTATTTTTTTTTTATTAATTGTCATTATTTTCAATTATTAAAAGTAATGCTAAATTATGAAAAGTTAAGCTCTGAAATAATTTTAAATATTTTTGGTGATGTCACATGGTACATTGCATGCTGTTCATTTCTTGTGCTTTTCCTACCCATTGTTGGCAGAAAAATGGCAAGACTAGATGTAAGTAGAATTTTGTGAAAATTTGTTATTCATTGTTGCAACTAGCATTCTGTATTTAACAAACAAGTAACAAAGTTTGCAAATGTTTATAAGCATGCATGTTAAAGTATTTTGAACTTAATTTAAGATATTTTTAATTTGTAAACAGGTCTCTCCATTGAAGTCTAAAAGTGTTCATTGTATATATGCAAGTTTACAGTACTCATGGGGTTAAAGTAATCACATAAGTTTTTCAGTATGTAGATATCTATATTAGTGAATCTATATTTGTGAATTTTTATTCTCAAACAGGTTTCAGATATGAGCCAGATGTGGTAATCATGGTAATATTAGTATGCTTTAAACATCATATGTCCCTTGCTTAGGATATGTGTTGGTTTATTTTATGTGAAAGCTGTGTGTATAAATTTTTATATTATATATAATGAAATAAATAACATAAAGAGTAAATAAATATAGAGAAAATAATCATTGACAACTAAATGAAATATTTCAAAGATTTGTAAGCATGAGATTTTTATACTATGAGGTGTACAGAAATTTTAATTATACAGTATTATTTCTGGAACATTGTCAACTTTATTTTTAATGGGAAATAAATAAAGAATGAAGAACCTTGAACACAATCAGCGTGTTACAAAGAGAAAATGAAATCTGGTCCTTACATAAATATAAGGTGAAATCTGATATGAAAATTTTAAAAAATCTACTTGGCAAACCGAATTAATTGCTTTAAATGATACTGGGTGCAAAACAACAATTTATTCTTTCTATATACTTCTTTTCAATACTTTATACAACCATTCTTCACGATAAATTCAAGTCCAGACTTTTTGACATCATAGACAGCTACTTTGAAATAAAAATGGAAATCGTAAATTTACTTACCTTGTCATTGGTCATTTGCCAAATTATTTTGTTAAAAAAACATTCCGATTGTACACACAAGAACTCTGAAGTTGATTAAAAAGATACTCGAGTTTCTGATTGACAATATCTATGTAGTTTTTAGAGGTTGGGTCTTCCAACAATATGTTAAAATTCCCATAGGTATCAATTGCACCCCATTATTAGCAGACCTATTTTGTTTCATATGCAGCAGAATTTATTTTTAAAAAACGTCTACATAATAAGGAAAAAAACCACTGGCCTTCAACTCGACATTTAGATATATGGACAATGTTTTATCAATTAACAATATTAATTTTCATTCTACGTTGATTCGATATACCCTTTTGAACTCGAAATAAAAGATACCAAAAAGTCTGACATATTTGTTTCATATTTGGGTATTTTACTAGAAAAAAGACGTTAATGGTAACTTAACAACAAAATTTTATGATGGTTACCACTTCAACTTTATATCTTCAACTTCCCTTATCCATGAAGAAATATACCCTTCACAACTGCATATGGAGTTTGTCTCCCAGTTGAAGTGATATACAAGAGCAAGAGCAAGAGTAATGAACTAACAATTTCTAAACAGAGGCAATTTATAGAAAATAAGCTGATGAAACATGAATATCAACAGTCTTGTCTATGATCGATACAATGATCTTATCAGTAGATTCAATCTATCATTAAGTCGAATGCTTTAAAATGAATGGTTTGTTCAAACTACATGTAATTGTTAGGTCATTATTTACACACATAATGACTGACATTAAGCTAGATTCAAGATCACATAAGAAATGTGGATTTTGTATCTTATCACATATTCGTGGACACACGCTACTTTTTCTTTTTTATGCCACACTAGGAAGGGTGTGCGATAATATTCACATATAGACCAAGATTGACTGAATTTTTAAAATTCACAATATACGAAATTTTACGAGCGTCAAAAGTATTAACGCTTAAGATTTACAGGCTGCACCGTCATGTCCAACATTGTGCTAGATTTATAACAACGTCATGAACAGGGATATCCTATTTTCATCAAGTAACAGTAGTTTTCCACTTCGTCCATTGTCTTTCAAATTGCTCAATCCGTTTAAAATTCGAACTTATTTGAAATTAATTAACTAAATATATTCTATTAAAACCAAGTTGTTTGAATAACTAGTTTGCCTATGACGTCATTTTTACCATAAAACCAAATTTTATGACTGGATGCTGTCTTATTTGGATGACCGATGTCACTTTTTGTCAATTTTTGAAACATATTTTTTGCAATTTTTTCTTGACATTTTACTATTTGTCAAATACTTGTTAGCGATATTTCAGATATCAGAAAATGACGACAACCACTTATTTCAGACACTTTGAATTTTTATTACGTTTTGGCTCGTTTTATCCAAAAAAAAATAATTGTAATCGGAAAACTTTATTTCAAAGTTATGAATTTTTAACCCTTGGCTATGCCTACTATCTGCGCATATTTTACAGAAATATTGAGTTAAATCAACCAAAACCAAACTATTCCTATTTGGATTTCCATTACAAATATTTCGGTAAACAATAAGAATATCTAAGACCAATCAGGTTGACAGAAACGTCATTTTCCACGAGCGTTATGCAAAACCATCTTATAATCGCTTTCAGTTCTTCATGGTGTTTTACAGTATACTCATGGAAATATTTATTTTGACGCCATCTATAATATCGTTTACAAGTCTCTCATTGACGTCATATTTTCTCCGTAATTCTGACAAAGTAATACAAAAACAAAGAGATAAATTTGACTTAGTAAAATACTCTTCATTGATAAAAAATGATTTTTTTTTTTTAATTTCGTCTTTTAATTGCATTGGAGTTATGCAATCTATAAAATGGAAAAACTGTAAAAGTTTCATGTCTGCATAAGTCTAGATGTTCACTGACTTAACTTTCACGGAATTTTGACACGTTTGCACACGAACTCTATTAAGATTTCAAGGAACGGCATATAACTGTCTAAGGTCTTAGGTAATACATTGTACTTCTAGAGTCAGCACTTCAAGCTAATATGATGGACCAGGAATTAATACAGGTTGTGTCTTGGTTTGGTGTTTTGCATTTTTTATCTACAGAGAATGATGCATGTGGTGCGTTCATCCCACAATTCTTGTTTTAGAACCATTTTAAAAGGTTCAGAATTTAAAAGGATAAACATTTCAATATGGTGTTTTTGACAACTGGTAATAGTATCCTGCAATATTAATTAGTTATTGACATACGAATTTCATCAATCATTTCAATACTCAGAGGTTCAAAGCAATAAATAATTAAAATGAAATTTTCTCGTCTTTCTCTGGATTTTCAAATTATTCTATAGTACTGAGTATATATTCAGACTACTGTCCTCCGGCAGAAATTTCTTTATTCAAATATTTGCATTTCTGAATATCATTACCTTCAAGTCATGATAAATATCTACAATTTTCGACATTCTTTCATCTTGCTTAAGCAATATATTTGATCAAAAAGTTAAAAATCTGTGTGAATCATCTTTATCTATAAAATTAAATGTGATTAGGAAGCATTTAAGTAAAAATTTATATAGCAAAACATGAAAATAATAGGTTTGTTTCATTTTTTTCGTAATTCTTTTCCAGATACATGTCCGGCAGGTACCAGAAGTGTAGCTTAGATAGGTGAAAATGGTCTAGTTATTGAAGGTCATTATCAGTGGAACCACGTTTCCTTGACCATGTATTCCAGCAACTGGTTTCCAGTTGAACCATGTGCGATTTCTCCAACACAAGGAAAATAGAGGGACTGTTTTGATATAGTCAGAAATTGCCAGTGGAATGAGACGCTCTGATGGCTATTGACAAATAATTTGATGGAGCAAGAATATCAACAGTCTCGTTTAAAGTCAACATTTCGAATATTCTTTGGTCGATACAGTGACCTTGCACTAACAATCTATCATTAAGTCGAAGTTTGACTGACGTTACGTTTTTCATACAAATTCTTAGGCTACAGTTCTCACACAGAATTGTCTACGACTTTTTAGTTTTTTTTTTTTTTGTTTTGTGTGTGTGTGTGTGTGTGTGTGTGTGTGTGTGTGGTTTCTTTTTTTTTTCTTTTTTTTTTGTTTGCGTTTGCCAGATAATGACAAAGAATACATTGGTGGTGTGACTGGTCGACAGGGGATGCTCACTCCACCATGGCACCTGATCCCTACTTTGATGTCAGCTCTTCTCCCGATATGTAATATTTAAATGGACTTTTTAGCTTGATTACTATTCGTTGTATCATTTTTAATAAAAACCCGATGTTGTTTTATTACCGCAGACTATATTTGTACCAAGGTTTATTATTATTGGAACAAGCCTCTTGATTGAGTAGCAGACATTTTGAATTTCACAAATTATTAGTTTTGCTATGATATTTAGAATAGAGGCTATAACAACACGGAAATACAAAAAGTGAAATACAAGTGAAATACAAAATTCTGTGCAACAATTTTTATTAAAAATGGACTAAGTCTGTAAATGGAGTAACATTTAACTCCAGAAAATTTCTGTTTTTTTTTTTTTTTAAAAAAAACTAACGAAACACTGATTACTGAATTTTAAAAAGAAAAATTATTTCACGGAATTCCATCACGTCAAAGTGTTCACACCTTAAATAATTTAAAAACAAAAAAAAGCACCCTTTAAGAATGTCAGCATTGCGCGTGCAGTCATGAAAATAAATAATTTTGAAAATATATGTAGAATCGATATCTTTAGTCGTCACAATCGCGGCATGTTTGACTCGGCAGTTGGCAACGACACTTTTACTGAATGAATATGTAGTGGAATGTAGATATGCAGGCTCAGATCCAAATACTATTGTGACATGACCGGTAATGTTTTCCTTTGAAGTTCACTGTACAATAACTAAATTACAGAGCAGTTTTTAGTGGGCGGTCCTTATGCAAATGACCCCAACTGTACAATAACTAAAATAGAGAACACTCAGGGTATCAGGGTAAATCAAATTTATTTTTAGAAATTAACAAACAGAATGACTAGAGTTTTATCTCGTTACAAAATAAAAACTCAAATAGAAACAGAGAAAAATAGTAAACATTTTCTTTATACTGTTGACAAATATCACTTCATAGAAAAAGTAAAATTGCACATATTAAACAATGCCGGCATAGAACTTAACTCCTTGAATGGTTCACGCATTGCGGATTCGTTCCTGGTTTCATTGCACAAGGGTTTGTCGACACCTAACTGTAAATCACCATGGAAGTGCTTGGAAGGCGGGTCATCATTTTCGGTTTCCAATGGCCTCATCTCAGATTTACGTGGCGGATCTAGAACTTGTGACACTTTTTTTAGCATTCCCGAGCTGCAATCTTTGTACTTTCGCACTGCATCGGATCGATGTCCGGCCTTTTCATAATTTCTTGCTCAGGGACTCCCGCGATGTACATTTGAGTTGCACATGTGCGTTTTCCGCTATGATTTGTGAAATTTCCAGACAAGTCACCTTTTTCTGCTATCACCTTCATGAAATTTTTAAGTTTGTTTATGCCGACGTTTTGGTGAGAATAACGAATTTTTACATCTCCCAGTGGTGGCAGTGGGCGCCGATAGAACGGTCCCCCTCCAATTGCCTTTAGATACGCATCGAAGAAATCGATTATGCATCTTTCTCCTATATAAGTAAACAAAAAACTAGTTTTCATTTGAAACACAAATTCAACCAACAATGGAGAGAGAGAAGAGGGGTTTACAGTTGATAAACAAACATAACACATAGTTCTAGCACCATATTAGGACACAATTTTTCGCTGTTATTTCAAATTGGAAATGTATTGAACAAAACGGCCATAAATAGAGAGAGAGAGAGAGAGAAAGATTTTAACATACCTGGATCAGAGTAGTGTTTGATGTTTTTGTTCTGAACATTCGACTGGCCTAATCCTCCTTTATAAGTCTTGGAAGATCGTCCCACGAACTTAATATATTTTCCATACTCGTCAGCGCCGGTGAAAAATTGTTCAGCTGTCAAACTATAGTGCTCGTCACATCCTCTGAGCCCCCCAAAAAACATTGTCAACTGCAATTGTTCTCTGTTCTCTTGTCCAAAGACTCCCTTCTCCCACAGTTTCTCTTCCTGTTCCGGAAGTATCGGGTCTGCACATTTTATGTCACAGCCAAGTCCTTTATCAATGAGATTTCTCATTTGTGCATCAGCAATCTTCCGAAATCCAGCGAATTCTGTATTTTTCTCATTCAAAAAATTTTTGTCATATATTCCTTTGTCTCGTAGGTGCCTTAACAGTCCACATAATATCAGATAAATTGATTTCGGTGGGTACTCCGTCCCGTCCTTTTTTCTCATTTCTACCACGAACCTTTCAAGCCAGTAACCCATTTCTTTGGAGTCCATAACGTGAAGTTCAGGAATGTTTTCATCCCTGTTCTCTCGCCATTCCTCGAATTCATTCATTGCCCATTTCGTATTGCTTTTTGTGTTCGCATTCTCCTGGTCGGGCACGAGTTTGTTTAGCTCTTCGTCTGTTACCGGCGTCCTAAAGCGCGTAGATTTTTCTTCATCCTGTATCTCGAATTTGACGATAGGGTTAGTGTCCATACCTAACGTTACATCAAAAGCGCCATAATTATTCGCAATTGCATTTTCTTCTTTCAGATTCAGCGATAAATCACATATTCCTTCAAATGCTCATTCTCTAAAGTTTCGCATATTTGAGATAGTGTAATATCGCCTATATCATTGTCCCACGCAGCAAGAATATCGATATCCATTACGTATATACATCCATATCCGTCTGACCTTCCATTGCATCACCGTCTAAATGATTCTCATAAGCACAATTCGCGCTAGCGCAAAATGCATTGTTTATTGATTGGTCACTTCGTCAACTTAACCTTTAACTTTTTATACTTTATTCAAATTAGTTATCATTACAAAATTTGATTTGCTGTAAAATTACACAGATACAGAATCTTCAAAATCTAAAAATAATCGAACTGTCATGTCACAAGTCATTTAGAATACTCGTTTCTTATTGTATGAGAGATACAGGGCGGGGCGCGGCTCCAGCTAGCGCTCTCGCCTTAAGCCCCGCCCTGTATCTCTCATACAATAAGAAACTCGTACTCTAAATAATACTTATTTCTGTGCCTGGATTTTCAGTCCCGCTATTAACTTGCAAGGGATAACTTTAAAACAGTTGTGGATCACTGAATTCATACTACGACTATCACTATTTACTTCCTTTGTAATTTCGTAAAAAAAAAAAAACTGGATAAAGTAGCATGTTTTTCATTTCTGTTTTTATCAGTCTAATGGAAAAGATTATAATTTTATATCTTTGTGTTGAGACAGAACCTTCTTTTTCGCAATTCTATGTAGCCGAACCCGAGGCAGACACAGACAGTAAGGTTAACCGCATCATTTACCAGGTTTTGGCAAGTTCTCGATTAACATGGGGCGCAATATGTGTCACGACAAATGCATGTTATTTGGGTACAACGAGAAAGATAAAATATGCTACCTACACATGCAGACTCAGCAAAACTTCTTGACAGATTCTGAGGAAGGAATAATGTACTACCAGAAAACAGAGAAAGGTAAGAAACACATTATATAAATGATATATAAATGATATTTTACATTTTCTTAAATGAGGTAATTACCTACCTATAAATACAAAAAGGACTATATTCTCATATTTCAACACGCTGCCTTTCAAATCAAATTGTTTTGGAGAAATCTATAAAAAGATGAAAAAGACCACGTTGCAAATGTCGTAAGGATTATTCTTTTTCTTTTAAAATGTATTGCTACTTAAGGTAAACATTTTAGATATATATTAAAGAATCTTAATATAAAATTCAAGGGCAAAATGCGAACTATCTATTCCTCCGTCTTCAGTAGACTGGAAGTGATAAAAGAATTACCTTTGAGAGACTACATGAAAAATATGTTTTGGTTTCAGCCTACAAAGCTTGTAACTTTGTAAGGTTTATTATTTCAACTGCATTTTAGAAGAACTAGCTTTTATTTCCACATCTGGTAATCCAATCTCTACTCAGAGTTCAATTTCAAAAGATGCAATTCTTCAAAATCACCTTTCAGTTTTGAATACTTTTAACATTCCAGACAGTGAAGTGAGTTTGATTTACCGTATCTATACTGAATTCTAAAGCTTCTTAAAAATAATTACAAGCAAGGAAATGTTCAATTAAGCTGCCATCTTTATTCCTCGCCAAAATAAAAACTGTAGTGAAGGAGAAACTTTAGACCTATTGTGCAAATGCATTTAATTAGAGTGGTGTAAAACAAATGTGGAATCTAAAAGATCCCCAAAGAAACATCTAAAATCTCAAAACTTAACCAACTAATAACTGTATGACAATCGAGATGACTTCAGTTTTTCTATCGTCGACTTCTCTTATTTATGTAGTAATATTCCAGCATCACCTGCATATGGTATTTACGTCTTCCTACCGATTTGACACTCTAAAGCAGGATTTCAGTACGACTAATTTTATGTCCAAGATTTCTTTATACTAGAATTTCTTTATACTTTATATTAGAATACTTTCTGTTTACGAAGATTTCCTTATTACGAATATCCACGATATCATATCGATATCGAATCATGATTGTTCAATGGATTATGCTATTATGGTTTTTTTAAGATTTGAATTACTTGAATACTATCCTTTTCCTGTAGTGTCGATATCTTCGATATCGATGATATCGCTTCGATATCGAATCATGTATGCGCTACCCTTCGTTGGTACCTTCCATGCCATTGTGTATGTGTTTAGACAAGTTTTACTGTAAATTGTCCGACATGTTTGTTTCCATTTCTTAGGTCGTTGCTTTTGTACTAAATTTGACTAGGGAGAACTCCATATACCAGAACAATACATAGGGCTCACAGCCAATGTAGCCGGTCAATCATCAGAGGATGCTTTCTCCTCCTCGACAACTGATCCTACCGCGGTTTGTTTCCAGGGATTTAGGGGTTTTTGCCTTGTTCACGATTCGTTTTGTTTACTGAATTGATAAGATTGATCGCTGTTCGTTATTTACATATTTTACGTAATACATTTACATGTTCGACAAACTGTGAGCCTACTTATTTTAGAAGTAACAATATTTAAGCGCCCTTTCCGCTGCTTCTTGTCCGTTAAGTACACGTAAAGTATACGTTAATATACACTTCACAAAATTAAAAACGCACTGCTAAATATTCTCCTCAGTAAATACAACATTTTCCAAATCGTAAAGAGTAACTCTCCTTTTAGGCCATCTTGCCCATGAAGTGGAATTTCCGGACGATGTGGTTTTTAAAACACAAGACAAAAATCAATTTTCCGAAGCTGACTGTGTACCGTTTGTACATTGGTCACGGTTGAAGATCAGTAAGGTTGCAACAGCTGTGGTATCCCCGTTTATAAAATGATATGGACCGATATGTCTATCATATCGCCTAGTAATCATCTTTCGCTTTGGCATCTGTATCCGGTCCACCTCATTTCCGATTGCCATAAATTTGCGATACAGTATTGTAGCTGTCGTATGGTGACTATTGAATGTCGTGTCAACCTATATAATACTTTTTTTCATATATTTTTCAATCTTATAGTGTATTATTTAATTAGAAGAAACAAAAATCTTATAATTACTTGAAATTTTTACAAGCCTCTCCATAGGAATACCCTTCAGATGAATACTGGCTGGCCTTCCTATCTTTTTTTTACGGTAAAAAGCCTCACATATGGTGTCAGGTTTTTTCTATGATAATCATTTAATAAATGCAAACATAATGAACCCAAGCAAAAGAGAAAATTAAAAAAAAAAAATTTCAAAAGTGTGTGCATAATTTTCAGGCATCAGTATATTATTTCAGTAAATATTGTATTCATTTATCATTTTCGACATTTTAATATCTCATTTTTTTTTAGATATTCATCAAATACAGCATAAATAAGTTTGGAAAAAGTGTAAATCAATTTTCTGTGATTTTGCTGTGGCAATATTGTCTAATGTATGATCAAAACGAAAACATATAGAAGCTTTGCTGCAACTATGTTAATTTATGATCAGGCTAAGCAGTTAGCGATGAAGAAAGCTCTTAATTTTGAGTGTTCTGATTTATTTACGTTTGCAGTACTTTCAAATTTATATAAATTGTGATATCTGCTTCTGATCAGTTTGTAGATTATTTTTCATATCACACTGAAAGCTAAATGTAACATCGCTGATTGTCTTTCATCTAAATGTACTTTCTTATCTGATGATTTTTCATACCAATATTTCACATTGATAAGTATGGGTGTAATATAAATAGGTTGTGGCTCGCAGTGGCTGGAGTATAGGAATCATTGCTACTTTCATAATCAGATGAAAGCCACATGGACTGAAGCTAAAGTAATATATGAATACACATTTCTTTTTTATATTTTGTAGTATTTTGTCAAAGCCTATCATTGTAGCGAAACTGTACAAAAGTTAAATGTGTATAACAGTTTCTTATAACAGTAAAACTTAGAATTGAAGCTACGTTTATAAACATATTGTTAAGGAAAGTAATATTTAAATCATAACGTCATCATTGCCATATACATTCCATTTTGGATATTCAATCCACGTGTATATAATTAATAATGCTTACATACGGTTTGAGTCATTGAGAAAAATTAAATCAAAATGATTTTATTTTAGTTGTGGTGCGAGTCCAGATATGCTCACCTGGTAGAAATAGAGAGTAAGGAGGAATCTGATTGGCTGGCCAGAACGTTTCTTTTGAAAGGTTAGTTGCATACACATTTAAATTAAATTGTTCAATTTACATCTAGTAAAAAAATCTTTCAAATATTGTTTCAAAATGTATAACGAAAAGAAAAATGTTCCAAGGGGATTCTAATTATCTCTTTCTGTTCCGAGTATAAACTGTCTTCACTTATTTTTCTACCGTGTACTCTGTATATAAATCAAAAATCTGGGAAAGAAACAATAAGAGTAGCATGCTTTCATTAAATCAAAATATTTTCAAAAAAAATCATTGTTTTAAACCTTTTCAAAGATACCATTCTGTTATTGCGAAAAAAAAAATCTGAATGTGTGCTCTAATTTTACAGCAGGTGCCTTCCTATATTTATTTGTTAATAAAATCTAACTAAATCATCAAACAGAAATATTCTGAAAATTACTAATACTTTTGAGTTCAAAGAAAATTCTGGGGTTTTTTCCCCAAGATTTTTAAAGATTATTCCATTATGAATATATATATATATATATATATATATATATATATATATATATATATATATATATATATATATATATATATATACGATTACCAACTTAGGTCCGGAGTAGGATATCAACCCGATTTGGGTGCAGTTGCTCACTTTAAAGAAAATAATAAAATTTTTGTGCGATTTATGATTTATTATGATAGAGGACAGAGGGATAGAACGAATTAAAGAGAAAACGAAGGGAAATTCGGAGAAATTTAAAAAAAACGATGATATATATATTTTCAACAGCACCAAAGTCGGTGATACAAACAGCACCTAAGTTAAACCCAGAGTTAAATGCTGTTAAGGGAGAAAACTGCAACGTTCTTGTCTCTAATGTATAATGATTTTCGTCTTTAGTCCATAATAAAATGTTTTAACCCATTTACTTGATCAGTACATTGTATATGATTAGGTTTGTTCTATGCGGTATTTTATTCTTTTTATTATGAAGAGAATAAAAGAAGAAAGGCCTTTGACATATTTTAAAATATTAATTTCTTACTTCATGAAGTAAGGTAAAAGAGATCTAAATCATGTTTATTAAATTAATCTCCGCAAAAGCTTATCACGAAAAGTGATATGAACATCGCTTGATTATTGTCATAGGAAATTATAATCCACCTATACACTTTCTTTAAAATGTAGCTACGTCAAGTTATCCAATGACAATAATTTTTTTTTTTTTTTTTTTTTTTTTTTTTTTTTTGTTTTGTTATGTTTTGTTTTTTTTGTTTTTGTTTTTGTTTTTTTTTTTTTGTTTTGTTTTGTTTTGTTTTTTTTTTTTTGTTTGTTTGTTTGTTTTTGTTTGCTTTTTTTTTGTTTTTTTGAAATCGTTAAAGATTGATTTTAATAATTTCTCGTAAAATTTAATCATTAATCTATTTTGTTTTTATAAAAATAGAAAACTGACAATACTGTAATTAACATGCTTTAACATTTTGCACTACTTTAAAAAAAATCTTTGTTTTGCATTAGGGGACGACCATTTGATTCTAAAAGGGGGGGGGGAGGCAAACATTTTCGAGCCAGATTATTCATTTTCAATTCATTCAAGGACAGATTATTTATTTTCTTCTTCTCTGAAAAAAGTTTGAAAAGTTAAAAAAAATTAATAATAATATTATTTATTTTCTTGCCAGTCGAGGACAGATATATTTTTAATATTTTCGAGGACAGATTAATTAATTTCCAAATTAGACACAGATTATTTATTTCCAAAATATACCACCCCCATCCCAGAATTTTGAGTCAGATAATTTATTTTCATGTCATTCAAGGACAGATTATTTATTTTCTTCCTCTCTGAAAAAAGTTTGAGAAGCAATGATGATAATAATAATAATAATGATAGTGGGCAACGACAGTTTATTTATTTTCTTTCCAGTCGAGGACAGATTATATATTTTTAATATTTTCGAGGACAGATTATTTATTTCCAAATTATACACAATATTATTTTATTTCCAAAATGCACCACCTCATCCCAGAATCAAATGGTCGTCCCCTTAAAAAACAAAATGATTAAAATTATAATTAAAGAAAATTAAGATTTAAAAACCTTAGAAATCTAGGCACGGCCTCTTCGTATGGCAGCAATGACAATGTGGATACTGTTGGGAATCTTTAATGTCCACAGTGTAGCAATGTGATGGGACTTCTTTACAATACACAAAGCCATAGGCGGAGTCATGGATATCGGTGTTACAATAAACCTATTATACACGATGTCTCCTTTGATTCACTAATACCCTATGTAAATAAACAATTAGGTCTTCATCACATTTGCACCAAACTTTAATCTGTCTCTTTGAAAGGTTTAAATAATCTACTCGACACAGTCCATATTCGGATCCTTCGATATCAGAATACAGGCTCGGATCTGTGATTATGGATATTGAATATCATATTGTTTTTTTAAGCCGCCATGTTTCACGAAGAAAATACTACTTAAACAACCCGTTTGTTCCTTTAACTTCAATATATCTATATACCTATAAAGGAATTGACGCAGTTAATATAAGTAATATTCTTAATCACAAAAGGGTCCAGTCTTGTTTCCACAATATTTCAAGTTGAAGTCCACACTTTGTATTTCTTACAAATATACACAGACTATTGCTTCCAAACTTTTTAATTACAAAAAACTCTACAGTGCCTAGATATCGAACATCTTAAACAAAATCCTCCAAAGTTTCATGTTCTTCACCACCCTACAACTATATTCCTGCTGGACACGTCATTATTGGTGACGCAACATAGTTAATAATGAGAACCTTAAATCACTTATTTTAAAAGGGCCAAAATTTAGGGAACCCTGTGACGGTACATATTGTCGTCGGCAACACTATGTACATACCCTAACTGTACATATTGTCGTCCATCGGTGCATATTGTCGCCGACGACAAAAACATTATTTTCCTCCTGTATAATGAACGGTAGTATGTGCGACATATTGTCGTTGATATATTGTTTTGATGAATATTTACTAGGGTCGTGGAGAGAGAGAGAGAGAGAGAGAGAGAGAGAGAGAGAGAGAGAGAGAGATTGACAAAAACGCAAACACAGAAACACACACGCACGCATAGAGGGAGTCAGACAGATACAGTGCTGCTATCCCACAAGTTGACATGGGATGGGATTGGATAGGATTCAGGATTGAGAATTCACGATAGAAATATATAGTAGTTAATCCCATCCTATCCTGTATCCTACAGCCAATCAGATTCGAGTAAAGGTTGATTCATATTTCAGAATTAATTACAAAAAAGGAATATGATTTGAAACGTTTACAAAAGAAATATCTATAAAATACAATAGAAAAAAAAAACATTTTTTTTCTTAACACACATTAATTATTAACTTCGAAGCATTAACTTCGAGTAACATGGCGTACGATTTAACCGTGAACAATCACCGGAAGAATATTCGCATGTAAACAACGAAGAGTTCGGACATTGACTGGTATTGCCTGTCTCTATCGTTCGAAAGAAAAAAAAGAAAATATCGCGCATATCAGACAGGCAAGCCAGTCTAGCGGGGTGTCGGGAATTAATGGATGTCGATCTCGATTATTTTTCCTCGATTAAAACATATTAAATAAATGAAGTATATAATTATAACTGATTTTTATATGGTCGTCATTTTTTTTTTCGTTTTGTGAAATTTACTCTTAAATATTAAAAAACTGAAAGTAGCAGGATAGGATAGATAGGATTAGACTGAAATCACAGGATAGGATTGTGGATGCAGGATTCACGATAGGATAGGATTGTCAACTTGTAGGATAGCAGCACTGTAGCGTTGCTCGCAATACTTTGGGGAGAATACGTTGTGTCCAGGATCGGTGTAAACGACTATATATTAGGATGTTACTGTTTTGTCTTCAGTAGTAATAATTATCTATAGATATAACAGTTTTGTTTTTTTTCCTCATTCCACATTTCCACAGTTCCACATTTTAGATCACCTGAGATGAAAGCTCGAGAGAGCTTTTCTGATCACTCGTTGTCTGGTGTCCGTCTGTCTGTCCCTCCGTCTGTAAACTTTTCAACTCCTTGTAAAACCACTGGGCAAAGATTGTACAGAACATCCTTGGGCAAGGGGGTCTTATGTTGTTGAAATGAAGGACCAAGCCTCTTTCCAGGTGAGATAATCACAAGGTGAGATAATCAAGGAAAGGTAAACATAAGGTAGTTCATTAAAAAATCATTTTCTCAAGAACCACCGGACAAAAAAAGCTTACACTTATGTAGAGGGTACCTTAGGTAGTGTATATTTAAATTGTTCAAATTATGACCCCCCTAGGGTAGGGTTGGGCCTCAAATTTGAATCAAATTTTACCATTGAAATATTTAGGAAAAATCTTTTTCCAGAACCACTGGGCTAGATATAAAGAAAGTAAGATGAAAGCTTCCTAAAATAGTGTTGATTCTAAATTGTTCAGATCATGGTCCCCGGGGTTAGAGTGGGGCCACCATTGGGAAGTTTTATGATGAAAATATTTAATTATATATTACTCTTCTTCTGAAGAACTACTATACCAGAAAAGATTTTCTCCTGGGGTAATGTAGATTGTAAATTGTTCAGATCATGACACCACAAAAGGGGATAAAAGTTTAATATTGAAATATATAAGAAAAATCTTTTCTTCTCAAAAACCACAGGACCAGAAAAAGAAAGTTATGTGGAAGCTTCCTAAGATAATGTATATTGTAAATTGTTCAGATTGTGGTTCCCGAGGGTAGGGTGGGACACAAAAGGGAATCAAAGCTTTACATTGAAATATATAAGAAAAATATTTTAGAATTTTCTCTTCAAGAACCACTGGACCAGAAAAAATGAAACTTTGGAAACTTACTGAGGTAGTCTAGATTGTAAATTGATTAGATCATGTTCTTCAGGGATAAGATCGGTCCAAAATTGGGATTTCATAGGTAAAAATCTTCAAAACTCATCTTCTAAAAAACAGCGAAGTCATGATGAATCAATTAAAGTGCATCCTCTAAT